CTTTGCGGCTCGGGATTTTAGTGGGTAAGCTTTTTTCACTTTTGTTTGGGCCAGGGCCGACTTGTATTGAATTGGCCCAACCCATTACCCATCTTCTTCCAAGTAGTGATGGATGTTGGATTTGGCGCAAAATTATGTACGGTTTGAGTTGCTTAAAAAACTTCAGCAAATGAGACACTTTCACCCGACTGGATTAACAGCTTAATGTCTTACTTGAGCTAAGAGTAGGGGTGTCGGTTCGGGTCGGGTTCGGTTACCCAAACCCGAACATTTTTTATCGGGTTCGGTTAAAGCAAAACCGAAACTCGAAAAACCCGAACGACTAAAAATACAGGTTGAGTTCTATTCATTGGAGGTTTTTAGCCGGAACCGGAAAAACCGGTAAGAAAAACCGAACCCGAACCCGAAAAACCCGAAATAAACCCAAAAACCAAAAATATATATAATCGGGTCGGTTTCGGGTAAACCCAAAAAACCGAACCCAAATTGACACCCCTAGCTAAGAGGCCTACCTTGTCTTACAATCGTTTCTTAAGAGCTCCCTAACGTAAACTAGTTCCAACTTTTAGTCGGCATTTGCCAAGGGAAGGTGAACGAGACTATGATTTGTCGTCGGAGGAGGAAGAAGTAGTGGCCAGTGAACCGACTGACGCTATGTTTCTGAGTCGTGGGTTGGCCGCTCCGAGTTGGGTTTGACCTCTCACGCCGAAAAGAGGTTAGGATATGCTCGGAACAAAGTGAGAGAGAAAAGGACAATCAGCTGTAAGGGATTGAAAGTGCGTAGTCCCTCGATTTAGGGATCGATAGCGTCTTCCCTCCCTTCACCCTTCTCCTTAACACCGAGGTATTCACTCATCTCACTTCGTTCCTAACCCCTACTACGCACACCTGCTCGCATCTCGCTTTTGTCATTGATAATGCACTTAGAAGAGCTAAAAAGAAAGTCTTTTAAGACATGTTAATTAGCCCGTGAAAGATATCTATGAGAGTGGTGAAGGGAGGAAGTAGCTCGACCTTCCGAAAATTTTCTCAGGCTCTACCCTCGTTGCACCAAAAGACAGCCGTTAAAGTAGTCTGAGGAGCATTTCAATTCTCCCCGCCTCAATTGGCATTGTGGTTCATTTCACTTTATAGCAAGTTAGGTCTGCAGTATCAACCTCTATTAGCTATGGACAGTGGGATTGGCACTGATACACTTCATAATGACGAGCCAACACATCAGATACTTCTATTGCAATCGGGATCAGTTCTCTGACATGCCAAAACAATATCCATGTTATAAACACGTCTACTATTCACCAAAGTAAAACTAGCCGGGTTGAGCTTAGCATGAAGCAAAAACACGTTGAATCGCTTGGAGGTCAAGTTTAACCAAGCACCCTAATGCAACTTAAGAAACATAAAATTATGTTTCAAGATTAACTGGTTAAACTTAAAGAGGACCCTTTTAAGGAAAGAAATGAATATCATTTGGGCAGCATGCAACCTTCGCTGGATGCATTGAACATACAGGAAATATAACTTCAATAGATAGCATTTAGGGCAGGCAAAACTAGCACAGATAACAGAGGAAAAAGACAAAACATTAAAACTAATTGGATTCTAATCATGCATTGTACCTGCATGGATAGGAATGTCGATCTACAGATTTCTAACTTTGAGCAGAGATCAGCCAAGGCCAACAATACACCTCGAAGACGCCTAGGATTGACATTTTCCCTCTCCATGCAATCACGAAATTTAACCATAGCATCAGCTTCAAGAGCTATCGTATGTAGATCTTCCTTCCCTAAGACCAGACTAGACAATACAAACGGGGACTCATCTCCAACTTGACCTGGATCATCAAGGAGCTCGAGGAGAGTATTGACCAACTTCCTATTGAGCCCCAATTCCAGGATATAGCAATCTGTAGCATCCCTAATGACAATCAAGCACTGGCAAGAGAGCAGCCTCGTCTTGGCATTGCTATCCATGGTCAACCTAAGTATGGCATTGAACGATTTCCCGCCATGAGGTCCCAGAAACTCCTTTATGACTTCAGAGTTATTTTTGAAAGCTGCAGCAAGAGAACCTAAGCTAGCATCTCTCTGACCTACACTCCCATCTAGGAGGCTGACAAGCCTCTTCAGAACCCCAGCCTCGAGCATAACTTTCTGCTCTTCGAACGTCCTGCAGGAATGGGCTATGATATGAGCACCTAGTTCAGTAACGTTTTCACCCTCTCTATTCAGTAAGGAAACCAGGAATTCTAAGCTTCCACGTTCAAGGATTTCATATTTGGGAGCAAATTCAGACTGGTAGATCATTTTCAGGGAGCGAGCACCAACATCCACTACCTGAAACATCAAATGACCAAAGCAATGGATTATCACCCATTGAACAATCATAGCAAAAGGATTGAAGAAACTAACTTTGAATTCCAATTCTCCCCGCCTCAATTGGCATTGTGGTTCATTTCACTTTATAGCAAGTTAGGTCTGCAGTATCAACCTCTTTTTTTTTTCTCCTTCTCAAATTTGTGTTCATAGAAGAAGGAAAAAAAAAAACAGGAATAAGAATCAGATAAGCACATTACTTTGTCGTCGGGATGATCGAGCAGTCTAACCAGAAGCGGCAGAGCGCCCGCAGCGAGAACTGCCTGGACGCCGTCGTCGAATCCGCAGGCGAAGCTGCCAAGAGCTACCGCCGATTGGACGACGACATTGCTGGAATAGCCGAGCATTCCCCGCACAGAAGCGGCAGGAGCAGGCTGGAAGCAGTCGCCGTCGGCAATTGCGGCGGAGAGAATTGACGCGACGCGGGGGACGGCGCCGAGCTTTATGTAGCTGAGCTTTTTCGTCTTGCTGCCTATTATTTGGTTCTTGACTTCCCGCAGGACCTTCAGCTTGACATCGGGGTCACTGGAGGAGAGTCGAGCGACGAGGGAAGGCGGACCGCCGTCGGACCCGGAGGTGGTGGAAGCGGAGGCGGTAGTAGGCATGGCGGTGGCGATTGATGGCGGCAGAAGAATGGCATGCAATTGAATTCGTCGGAGACGGAAGGATTTATGAAAGAGAGGAAAGGGGAAAGGGAAAGGATTTTGGAATTTTGTAAAATAATTAAATGAGTTAGTTGGGTGCGGGGAATCCTTTTTGAAACCGTTGTTTTTTCATTTCTGACTGAGTTGGAATCAATTTTATTTAATAACTATATAACAAATCACTTTTTATATATGGAATCACTTTTTTTTTTGACAAAAGATAATCATATATTGATCACAAAAAATAGTTACATCCTGGAGCACAGCCAGGCCTGATAATTAAAGACACGACTCATGATCGGGTACAAAGAGAGGGCTTTCCTAGCCACAAGATGGGCTACCCTATTACTACTCCGACCTACAAATCGAACCCTGAAACCAGGATGGACACGGAAATACTTCAAGATCTCCTCCAGGACAGCACCCACCCGATTATCACTAGCATCACTTTGATTGATTTTATCAATGATCACCTTAGCATCCTCTTCAAACTGGACATTGGTGAAATTATTCGCTAGGCACCAAATAACCGACTCCCTGAGTACAAGCAACTCCACAGTCTTCGGATCCTCCAAACGATGCAACTGAATGCCCTTAACCATTAGTACCTCCCTACTTGGGGTTAACAGGACAATGCCACCAGCCGAGTGCGAACCAGGCCAAATGGCACCGTCCCACATACAAATAACCCCCCCCCCAGCCCCTTCCACCCCCAGCTCTCCCCTTAAGGGGACCGAAGGTTGAAGAGCCTTCTCCAGTGGAAGTCGAACCCATTCCTCATATCGCTGGTGGAACTGGCGCATCAAAGCAGGGAACCCAAATTGTTTGCCTTCAAAAACCACCCAGTTGCGCGACCGCCAAATCCGCCAGAGGACTGCCACCACCGCCATAAACACTGGGGCTGGTGGAGTAAAGCCATCAGCTTTTTGAGGAACAATGGGAAAGTATGCCGAGGTATCCCCTCCCCAACGTACTCCAGCCCTGAGTAGTCCCAAAGAGCCCGCGCCACCGGGCAATAGAGAAACAGGTGTTCCATAGTTTCCAGACTTTCCCAGCAAACCGGACAGCGAGGGAGAACTGGAACGTGCTTGCTAAAAAGAGCCTCAGTGGTTGGGAGTATCCGATTGAGAATCTGCCAGACAAAGACTTTCAGCTTAGGCGGGATATTAGCATCCCACAACCGGATCCAACTAGCCTTATCCATCCAACTAACCGTGGCCTTCCAATTTCCATTCCGCTTATCCAACGCCACTGCCAGATGGTAAGCAGACTTGACAGAGAATAACCCATCAGCCGTCTCATGCCAAATTAATTTATCCTCCACATTCTGTCGAGCAAGAGGAATCGCATTAATGGCTCGACAAGTTGAAGGATCAAACCACCGGCTCAATTTGAGGTTATCCCAACGCCCCTCCCCCTGGCAGATGACCTCAGCCACCGAGGGCTCCCCCACCGGAACAATCATAGGATTATAAATAGGGGCCTCCAGCTGGAACTCCGAGATCCAATTGGAATGCAACAAAGAAGCAGATTGCCCATTACCAATTTGCCATCTTAGACCCTTCTCTAGAAGCTGACGACCAAACAGAATACTCTGCCATCCCCAAGAAGGGCGAGACCGGGAAGTAGCTTTCAAAAACGTCCCATTAGGGAAATACTTGCCCTTGTAAACCTGGGGGAGCAGAGATTGCGGTTCAGTAAGGATGCGCCAGCCAATTTTTGCTAATAGCGCTTGATTGAATTGCTCAAACCGCCGAAATCCCATCCCACCTTCATGCTTGCTTCTGCACATATTCCGCCAGGACATCCACTGAATCCGATGATGGCCCTCAGCATCCCCCCACCAGAAACGCGCCACATGCTTATCTAGTAGACGACAAAGGGAGACCGGAAGCTTGAAACAAGACATAACATGCAGAGGCAAAGCCAAAGCAATTGATTTGATCAGCGTTTCCTTAGCCGCCGAGGATAACGTCCTCTACTTCCACCCCTGGAGGCGCTCTAACAACTTTTCCTCCAAGAACCGGAAAGTCGCCGTTTTAGATCGAGCAATCAGAGTCGGTAAGCCCAGATATTTGTCATGGACACCCACCGCCCCCACCCCCAGAATTGCCGCAAGGAACTCCTGGTCTTCCCGCACTATATTATTACTGAAGCACACCGCCGATTTAGCCAAGTTCACCTTCTGTCCACTTAATTCTTCATACTCATTCAGGACCACCATCAGATTTTCACACTCCTGAAGGGTACCACGTAAAAATAAGTATGAATCATCCGCAAAGAACAAGTGCGAGATCCTTGGGGCCCGAGGAGCCACCTTTATACCCTCCAGTTTATTCTCAGTAATAGCCTTGCGAAGCAGGGCCGAAAAACCTTCCGTACACAACAGAAAGAGGAGCGGGGAGAGGGGATCTCCTTGTCGCAGCCCTCTGGAGGGGGAAAAGAAACCCGACGGAGACCCATTCATAAGGACTGAGAACGATGATGACCTGAGACACTCATGAATCCATCCTTGCCAGACGGAGTTAAAGCCCATCTTGTCTAGAACAGCGAGAAGAAAGGACCATTCGACCCTATTATAGGCCTTTTCCATGTCAACCTTTAGGGCCATGTATCCTTTCTTGCCTCGCGTTTTAATTTTCAAGTAGTGCATTAATTCATGTCCCAGAAGAACATTATCCACAATTTGACGTTCTCGTATGAATGCATTCTGACCTTCTGAGATGATTTGCGACAGAATGCAGGCCAACCTTTCCGCCATGATCTTAGTGATAACTTTATAGACAAACTGACATAAGCTGATTGGCCGTAATTGCCTCATATTTTCCACAGTCTCCACCTTCGGTATCAATGTGAGCCAAGTATGGTTGAAACTACGCAGCATCCTACTCGTAGCAAAGAAGGAGCAGACTGCATCGATAACCGAGCTACCCACGACATCCCAAAAGGCCTTAAAAAATTTCCCAGTGAAGTCGTCCGATCCAGGAGCCTGTTTAGATCCCATGGCAAAGACAGTTTTTTGCACCTCACTCGGGAGCACCGCAGCTGTTAGGGTGTCATTCATAGCTGGAGTGACACTCTGGGCAATTGGTAACCCAGCCACCCGCTCAGCCATGTTGGCCACTTGGTTTTCCGTGGTAAATAGGTGTTGACAAAAGGAAATTGCCATTCCAGCTTTTCCTGGTTCATCTGTGATCCACACCCCGTCATCCGTCCGAAGCCCTTCCACAAAATTCTTTTTACGATGAGTCCTGGTCACTGTATGAAAATACGAAGAATTCTTGTCACCCTTTTTTAGCCAGTTGACCCTGGACTTCTGTTGCCAGTATAACTCCTCCGCCTCCCACTGCCGATTCAATTCTGTTTCCAAAAGCCGGATCGCCTCCCAATCAATTGGATGGGCAGCTTTAATCCGCTCAATTTCACCCTGAAGAGTATTAATATTCCATAAGGAGTTGGTGGTGCCAGCTCTACTCCAATCATATAACAGGTGTCGCAATTTTTTCAGGCGTTCCCAAAGGCGAAACATAGGAGTTCCCTGAACATCTTCCTTCCAGACATAATTAACCATCGCTCTGACTTCAGGATTATCCGCCCAACGGGCATCGAACCTAAAGAGAGGGCGGCAATTTCTAGCATAAGGTTTATCAGAGAGAAGGAGAGCCCGATGATCCGACCCTTGGTCCGTAAAATGTTTAACCAAAGTCTCCGGGAAACGGTCCATCCAGGACTGGGAACAAAGGGATCTATCCAGACGTTCACGAATACAAGCCGCTCCCATCCTCTTATTCGTCCAGGTGAATTGCTCCCCAAGGAACCCTGGGTCGTGGAGCCCCAGATCATGAACAAAGTCCCGCAGGCTAATAGCCTGAGAGGCATTCCAAGGGTTCCCACCATCCTTTTCACACTCATAGAGGGTTGTATTAAAATCACCAATAACTACATAAGGAATTGGGAAGGTTGCACATAGTTCCTGAAGCTGAGCCAATTGGGAAGCTCTGATCGTGACATTACAACTAATGTAGACCGAAACCACAATATAAGAGAAATTCAATTCATTAATCCGGGAACAAATACAGAAATTTGAATGATAAAACACCAAAGCATCAACTCCGGGGGACCAAGCTACAACTAACCCACCAGCTGCATCAACAGCATCCACAAAAAAACAATTTGAATTAACGAAACCCAAACCCCGCATATGACGGGAGACAACACGCCAGCTCGATCGAGTCTCCGAGAAGAACACGAGATCCTATTTATTAGAACGCACTAAACCAACCGCAGATTGGAACGTGAGGGATGGTCCAATTCCTCTCACATTCCAGGCTAGAATCTTCATTTATCGGACTGGGGCCACTCTAGGCTGGCTTCCTCCACCTGTTCCGAATTATCATCAAACTCCACGAATTGTTTTTTTGGCGTGGGTATATCAATCAAATCTCCTTCTACTGCCTCTAGCAAGCGCTTACGCTTCCCAGTTTCTGGGCTCAATAAATTCGTCCCGTATTCATCTAGTGCCAATCCATCTTCTTTGATCACCACCTGCTCATCCATAGGAATAGCATTCCTCATCTGCTTCTGTAAATTAGAATGTTCCTCAGGATTGATAGTAAGCCCAGTTTCAAAAGCAGCTACCACCTGGCTCACACGCCCCTTAACGGCAGCACTCTGACCTTCTGGTGCGGAGGAGGGAGCCCTCTTCTTAATTTCAAAGCATTGATTCTCATCCTCCGAATCCGAATCCGCCGAGACCAGTGCCTTCACGAATTCCACCGGGGGAGCTGAATCCTGGAGTTGCCCGGATGGGCCAGCAAGCCCCACAGGCCCACCCCGCTTCAGTTCACCACCACCACTTTTCTTTGGGCCATCAGACAGCGGGTCCGCTCCTCCTGCCTTGCCCTGGGCATTCCTTAGCTTTCCCTTCCTTTTGGGATGGGGCGGACGAACCTTGGCCTGGGCTGGAGAATCACCCAGCGGGGCCAAAGTGGAAACAAGACAGGGCTCGGTCCCTGAAGGTGGGCGATCATCAAAGCCTGCTGCCACTTCCTCCGCGGGCCGAACAGAGCACCCATTCCGTCTCTTCCCCTGCAGGATGGATTTCTTTTTATCAGACCCCATTACAGTGGCCTGGGGGAGTTGATCAATATCCAGAGCATCATCATCCGAGTTAGACTCGAGGAGGAGGCGACGGCGTCGTGTCTGAGCGAACATCGATCTCCCCAGCCTTCTTAAGGGCATCATTATGCCTATTGCGGATGCCTTCAACCCCGCGCTTGCCTTGCCGTTTGAGCTTTCCTCCTCCAAGCTGGATCCGTGGCGGTTTGTTAAGAGGGAAACCCCGCGGACTGCTCTTCGTACTCGACGAGGTCCTCAAACCCTGGGTCTTGCTTAGATCGCTGGCTGCGATAGATCGTCCCGTGACCACTAGAGGATCCGTCTCGGCCTTCTTGCTAGACACCTGCCGATTATCATCCCGGCCACGAACATACGTCCGGGCACTATTTGCAGGGCCATTAACCTGGCGATTGACCCACACCGTCTGCCGCGGCCCTCTGGCCGTCATGGTATCAACCTCATCATCATAAACCCTCCGACCCAGCTTTTTAGTCGACATTTGAGGGCCGAAACGTTCTCTCCCATTTGGCGGGTCAAACGTACATTCACGCCGAGCATGCCCAACTCTACCACAATGATAGCAGAAGCTTGGGAGAAACTCGTATTTTAAATTCACCCAAAACCTGCCAATCTCATCGCTAGCCCCCATCAGCTGGGAACAGAGTGGTTTGGCAAAGTCTAAGATCGCACGAACCTTGATAAATCGTTCCCCCGCCTCCTCCCAAGCAAAAATATCGGAGTCGAGGACTTGTCCAATGGCCGAAGCCACGAGCTTTCGTCCAAAGAGTTTGGTGCAGCATTCTTCTCTCACGCCCCAAATCTGGATGCGGAACGGAGCTGTGGAGAGTTCCTCAAAGGTCTTCGGAGAGATCGAAGGTGTCCATGAGCGGAGGGTGAGGACCTTGTCCTTAATGATCCATGGGGAGCGTTTCAACGCCCAGGTCTTCGCCTCCTCGTTAGGCAGCATGATCTCGAACAAGCCGTGACTTGCCAAGGAGACCTTCACCCGTCCCTTGATTTGCCACGCATCTACCAGAGCATCTCGCAGTTCCAGAGTTGAGAACTGATCAACGGAGAACATCCTTCCTAGAAGAGTGCGCGACGCACGAAGCTTCGTTGATTGGACCTCATCCAGGGAGAACTGGACGATCTGATCCTCCGAAACATGAACCATGACTCGAGCCTGACAAGAATAGGCAGAGTTCAAACGAGGATCATCAATAAGAGTAGTCTGAAGCAAGTCCCACGAAAGGGGACTATGCTGGCCAAACAAATTATAAGAAGCAACACCCTTCGAGAAGGGTTGGAACTTGGAGGTATGATCAGTCTTCATCATACCTGAACTTGAAGTGGGCGCACCAGCTAAAGATGGACTTGCTGCGAAGGAGGAACCACACACCCGAAACTTATCCTGGAGCTTGTGGTAAATCAATCGCAGCATAGGGGAGTATATAATGAGAAACGCAGCAGTAGCTGCTTCTCTTGGGACTAACGCGTGAATCCTCTCGCCGTTAGCAGTTTGAGTTCTAGTGGAAATAGGAGAGCTAGCACAGCTCATCCTTCGGCCGTTAAGGTTGTTAGGGGAGATTACGCTAATCCATCCCTCCCAAAAAACCCCGGTGAATCCGCTCTGAATCGGTTGCCAACCGACCCGAATCCTGTCCCCCGCGATTTGTGCCCACCCTTGGTCGGCGCCAAAGGCCAGCCACCACCGGCGGGAGTTCTAGTATGGGGAACGATCATGGACGCGGTCGGCCATTGCAACGCCGGCCTTTTCCTTGCCACTTCCCACACAAAACAGGGGATGCTCCTCTTAGCACATTGGATTCCCTGATCCGCATTTGTGTTGTGCAAAGGACGCTTCCCATTTGAAGATTGGGTGACCGGCGATTCCTCCACACCCATCTCAGATGCAGGTGGGAGCCAAAATCGCCAACCCTTCAATGGCATACATCGGCCTCTTTTGTTAAGGGCGAACGAGGTGGAATCATCTATTCCCCAGTCCGCACCTCTTTTCCTCTTTCGAGGACATAACACCGACTTCCGCGTCGGCACGGCGAGCTTCCGATGGACTCCCGACTTTCTGCCTTTCAGCGTGCTCGGGTGTTCGACACATCGCCGTAATCCCATTCCCGGAATGGGTGATGATTGATGCCATTCATGTTTCTGATTCTTCAGACTGGCCAGCATCCACGACCAGATCACCTGGAGAAGCCATTGGCCTAGCCAGAAAGAAATTCTGAAGAAAGAGGCGAGAGCTCCTCTCGCCATTTTTTTTTAATGAGAAACGGCTTTTCACTTTCGGTATGTGAAGTTCAAAAGAAACACAGTTGATTCTTTCTCTTTATCTTTTTTATATATGGAATCACTAATAATTCACTATTATGAATTCTCCATTTATAGTTAAACCGTTTTTTTTTTCTCATTACAATTTATCATTTTTCTTCCAAATAAGAGGTGGAACTGCAACTTCAATAACGTAGTGATGAAATGTGTAATGTTAAAAAACTACGAGTTCGAGATTTTGCCATAGTTCGGGCTCGGGTCGTTAATATATTTTCAGGCTTGAGCTCGGCTCGTGTTCGTCACAAGCTTTAATATGCAAGTTCGAGCTCGGCTCGTTTATGAAAATGAAAGCTTGAGCTCGACTCGAGCTCGCTCGTCAAATAAGCTTAACGAGCCCAAGATTGACCTAGAACTGAGCACATAATTACATTCAAACTTGTAGCAAAGTCTAGCTAAGTAAAACACAATATTCATCATAATTTTAATACATAAAATCAATGAATTCTAATCTTTTTTTTATGCCAAACCATTAAATGAGCTTGTTCGCGAGCTTTCGAGCTGAACATGGTATGGCTCGAGCTCGACTCGTTTAGTTAACGAGCTTGTTCGCGAGCCGGCTTGATTAAAACGAATAGAGTGTCGAACGAATTTTTCTCGAGTCGGACGCCGAGTCGTTCATGAGTGGCTTGGACGCTTGGTTCATTAATAGCCCTAGCTGGGAATATGAGTTTTTTTCACAAATTTCTCCTTTTTCCAATAGCAATTGTGTACCTTTTCAAATGTTATATTCATAATTTGTCTATGGAACCAGATGCGGTAATCTTGTTTAGATCAAATAACAAAGCAAGCCTCTTCTATCGATTAAAAAATAGGTTACACTAATAGTTTATTAATTATATTGAACAAGAAGTAGCAAAAACCACCTGATCATCATGAAGCATTATTACTCTCGTAAAAAAATGAGGTAAAAAAAGTTGAAACAATAAAAAATCACATCTATCACATTATCGGTATGTTTTTTTTAATGACAAATCACTTAATCATCATGAAGCGTTATGACTCTCATAAGGTTTCAATGCTTTTGTATCCAATCTGATAGTAGTTTCAGATTATTTCATTCGAATTGACACGTCAAGTATATATATAGGTGCAGCCTATGCACCCAAATCGAAAAGTAATTTTAAGATATATAATTTTGGACTTTAATTGATAACATTAGTCTAATGGATGATATAACATAAGATCAGGACTAATGAGAGAACTAATAAAAGGTTCTAAAGATCCAAATCATCTTGGGTGCTCTGCAAAGCCTCGAAATGGTTGTGGAGCTTGGCCCTCCCACCAAAGATCTTAAACTTCATTTGGAGGATCACCAAAAAGGCAAAAATGCAATTACCACAAAGACAAATCGTTGGTTTGTCTCCTTCATTTGTGGTGTCTTGTGTGCAATGCAGACATTGAAGATACTTGGCATTGCTTCTTCGAATGCTAGCATGCAAGAAGTTTGTGGCAGCTTGGATTTGCCTCCTTCCCTCTTCGGTAGAGGGATTTGCTGATCTTGATGTGACTTTACCACATCCATGATTTGCTCCCAGCCTTTTCTATCGTGGGTGGCAGTGGTGGCAAATCTTTGTACCATTTGGAATGCCCGTAACGACTTGGTTTTCAAGGGGATTCGCCCAGTTCTCCAAACTTCATCAATAATGGTGAATCTCCCTCTTCTCTGATTGGAGCACGTTTCTCTCCTCCCGCCTCGTACCAGTTAAGAATGACAACTATGAGGCGAGTGCAATCCTGTAATGAGGTGACCAACCTCCTTTGATTTCATCAATAAAGATTGTCTATCAAGAAATCCATGTATCGTGGAATTCATGGTTTGCGTCTCCAACATGTAAGTTTAGTCTATAACCTCACTAGGTCATCAGTCATTGCTACTACTTACTTCGGAGAAGAAAAAAGGAAAAAAACAATCAATGTAGAAACCAATGAGAAATGGGCTCGTAGCAGACCCAAATAACGTGGATACTTAAATTGGCTACGAGGCCCAATTATGCAGTAGGCTGGTTTGCCTCAATCCGGCCCATCTTGTATTTGGCACTTGGCAGCTAGTATTAGGTTTTCGACGTTGTGAATTCCAATTTCCATTCCACCAGATTGCATTGACGATTAAACAAAAATTAAAGTTCCTGGTTTCATGTAAGACCTGTAGACGTTTTTAGGAACTAATTAAACATAACAACCGGGAGTAGATAGCGTGACAACCCCTAAGGGGGTTGTCAATCTCGCTTCCCACCTCGTTGCTGTCCATTCCCCTTATTCATCTAGCGGCCAAGATCACAAGAAGGGTTTTTTAGGAAGGACAAGGTTAATTCTATTAATTTAAATTGGAAATTAAATGCATGGAGAAAATCCGGTGACGTGATTTGGGGGGACGTGATTTGGGGATAAGAATAGAATAGACTCTATCCCTTCCATTTCTGGATTCTCCCCTCGGCAAACCAACCCGTCATCTAGCTATGGAAGATACCAGCAACGCGACGGCGACGGCCGCCACCACCATGAACGACTACGGCAATGAATTGGGGGGAGTCGAATCTACGTTTATATTTGGGTTGGACCTGAACGTCTTCATCACCACCATCTTCATCATTCTCACTCGACCCATCTTCGCCCTCATCATCAGCAAGGTCAGACCCATCCTTGTCCTCGTCATCACCATCGACCTCATCATTGTCGTCTCCCTCATCTTCTGCAATATCAATTGGCTCAGCATCCGTAGCATGGAGTTTAGTTATGCGAGCATCGCACTCTGTTATCCTCGAAGCGATAGTAGAGGAAAGGTCGAGGTATCCCTGCTTAAGGGCAGTCACCTGAAATGATGCATGGGACAATAATACAACCATTGCATTAGTATGAGTAGCAGTATCTACTAGTACAGATGCTACTTGTACCAATACATGACACTAGCAACCAGTACGCACTCTTCAACAGAATCATTGGTACTGTTATCATTAATAATACTGGTACCAAAGCAGTTCTACTGGTAGCATAAATACGACTTGTATCATTAATACTACCAGCAACCAGATTAATAATACTGGTACCAAATTAAAATTTTTGGTATAATTCTAGCGTTGTTACTGGTAATCCAATAGTGCTACCATTGCATTGTATTGTATCAGCTTCCATTTTTATAGCTTATGTTAGTACTAAAAATTGTATATTTAAATAGCAAAGAAAGAGGTGGTGTTGATAAAGGATTACCTCTAGCAGTCCCATTTGAGAAATGTCAAGAACTCCCATAGCAGATGTGGAGATGGGGGGAGCAGTTCTAGAGGAAGCTATTCCTTTGCCCTTTGTTGTATTATGTGCCGCCTTTTCCTTCTTGACATAGGTTTCTTTCGGCCGTTCCTGGAGGGGCGAAGGATCAAGCTGGATGTATGGGACAGCACCAAACATACCATACTGGCGAAGCAATTCTCGACTACGTTTTCTACAGGCCGAGGTGTCCCATAACTTGCAAGACGGGACATCTGTGGTGAGCTGCAAGCTGTCTGTAGTCCTATCAAGGAACCACACCACCAGGACATGCAGATTGCCATTGGTATAGCTTCTTTTGCGGTTAACAATGAAGGCTCTCCTCACGCAGTCCCACAAGTAATAGCACCAATCATACTCGACAAACTCAGCTAGCTCATCGTCCTTCAGAAACTCGAGTATCGACGCTTGCCCCACGCTGGCTGTGCTGGGGTTAAATAGGTAACCGAAGCACGTCATCATGAAAATACAGATCCATAGTTTGTCATCCGTCACTGTACTAAGCTTTTTCCTCAAATTCCACAGCTTGTACCTACCGACAGCTGCCTCATCCATGCCCGGTAGGGTGTCTCGTAGTTCCTTCTCATGGTGTGAATCAATTTCCGGCACCATCTTTGGACCACGGGGAAGACCATAGATCCGCTGGACATCTTCCACGGTAAAGGTAAGCTGCCCCCCATCCTGCATAGCTATCGACATTGTCTCCTCATTGAATAGCCTAGTAATCCAACACAGCAACGAACTGTTAAACTGTTTCATCTTCAAATTAAGCACACAACTTAGTCCAAGCTTCTTGATAAGAGCCTGTCTCTCAGCTGAAATACCCGCCTCCACAATCTCGATGACTGAAGTCGGACTGCACTTCTTATCCAAGATGATTTGATTTGACTGTACAGTCCGTTGCTTCTTCTTCTTGGTGTGACTCTTTGTTGCCTCATCGCTTGGTCGTTTGTTACTAGGCCCAGCACCAGAATCACTAGAGTCCCTCAAGCGGACTTCTACCTGCCGAGAAACATAACCATCAGGTTGTTGTGTTTTCGTAGATGGTATAGCTGGGATCTTTGTTCTGGCCATCCCCGCAACAGAACAAGTAGAATGATATCACTACAATTACTATTAGCAAGGTAGAATGTTAATGGGACAATCCATATTAAAATAGCACTGTTAGAACAAATAGAATTATACGAGCTCAACAAGTTATACGTTTACCATTACCACAGCTACCACTAACAATGGTACCAGTACCACAACTACCACTAACAATGGTACGACTCTTACGAATACCACTAACAATGGTACCAGTACCACAGCTACCACTAACAATGGTACGACTCTTACGAATACCATTGGATCATAATCCAACGTTGCAACCCAAAAACAAATAACAGTACTGTAAATAAACCTAACCTCCGATTGTCTTCACGGGCGCAGAGAGGAACGACGGCGAAAGTAGGTGGTTCGCCTACGCACATAACAAGAAGGAGATAAAAACCTATGTTAGCAAACCAGATAACTATAGCAAAATATGAACTTTGGAGGATCGGCAACGAATCAGTCTGACAAAGCAACGGAGACTTCGCCGCCATGCAAAAGTAGAAGTCGTACCTGAATCAACAGACTTCGCCGCCGCCAAAAACGATCGGAGAAAGAGGATGCTGAAGTATCAATCGGAGAAAGTATATTGGAGAAGAATTTGGGAGAAACGGGCAGTAGAAAGAGTCTCTGTGGGCGGAGATGGAGAAAAAATAAAACCAGTGGGGGAAACTTCGGCGGGGAGACGAAAGGCTCGGCGGGGAAGATGGCTGATTGCTCTCCCCCCACCGATTTCTTTGCCTTTTCAAAATAGCCGCTGACGTCAGCAAACTAGGGGACTCCAATTCAGTGCAGTGGCGTACCTTTTTGCCCCTGCCCAACTTGAATCGTTAGATGGAGGAATAGGGGAACGGACTGCAACGATGGGAAGCTAGATTGACAACCCTCACGCTAACCTGTCCCCTATTGCAGGCCTCACCTGTTGACGTGTCATTCATGGCGCCTATCTCCTCGTCCTCGCGCGCCTTCCTCGTCCACAAAAATTACCTGTCATAACTGTCCACTACAAATTATGAAACAATGCCCAAAAAATCAGCCTGGAATATTTGAACACAAGAAATTCCGCGGAAACTGGTGGTGGAAAAGTTTACTTGCTAACCGCTTTGAACTTGCACGGCCATGGCTGCGGTGGCTTCCGGCGGAGGCGCGGCCGGCGTCGTACCGGTGAAACTCCCGACCCACAAACCCAGTTACAAGCTCCAATCTTCGTTTCTGGGCAAAACTCAGCTCAATCTCATCAAACCCAGTTCGAGGAACAAAGGTATCCCTAGTCCCAGGCGAGCAGGAGGAAGGATCGGAGTTTTGGCGTCAGTGGGAGTAGATGGGGGTAACGAATTGGTTAGTTTGGTGCACAATTTCTTTTTGGGAGTTGGGGTTGGGCTGCCCTGCACAGTGATGGAATGTGGGGATATCATTTACAGAAGCACTCTGCCAAAATCCAATGCGCTGACCGTCACAGTTCCTGGCGTTGCTCTCGCTCTCAGCGTCGTGTCTTACCTTTGGGCCACCCCTGGCGTGGCTCCTGGCTTCTACGATATGTTTGTGCTCGCTTTCGTCGAGCGACTCTTCAGAGCCAGTTATAAAAAGGTAGTCGTTTTCTTATGTGTCAATAGTTATTGATTGGGCTGGTGATGGGTTATCAAGGTTAGAGATTGGTTTTCAGGATGATATTGTTCTGGGGAAGAAGTTGGGGGAAGGAGCTTTTGGGGTGGTCTATAAAGTTTCGGTGGATAAGCCTTCTGCAAAGAAGGTACTCTCCAACTGTTTGATGAAATTCCTCTGTGAAAACCTTGGTCATAAATTGATGAATTGATTGAGAAAACCAATGAACTGTGATGGTTTTTTGTTGTTGTTGTTGTTGTTGACATGGTGGTTGTTATGGCAGAGGGGAGGTGACCTTGTGTTGAAAAAGGCAACTGAATATGGAGCAGTGGAAATTTGGATGAACGAAAGAGTTCGAAGAGCTTGTGCTAGCAGTTGTGCTGAATATTTGTATGGATTTCTTGAGGTGTTTGCTCTACTATGAAAGTTGACTACCGCGTAGTATAACTATCTCATGAGATTAACCGATTTTTGTCAAAGTAACTTAATGTTATTTCGCATTTGATTCCTGCTTTGGCTATCTGGGATCACAATTATGGAACCACTTCTCAGAACTCTTCAAAGAAAGGCAGTGAATATTGGCTTCTGTGGAGGTTTGAAGGGGAGGCTACTCTCTATGATCTAATGCAAAGCAGAGAGTTCCCCTACAATGTAAGTACGCTCTTTCAGTTACCGCTAATACACGCTTGAAAGAGCTGCAGTTCCGCGAGGATGTTGTCTTGCATCCGGTATAAGTCTCTAATTATATTGTCAATGACAGGTTGAGACTTTGATTCTAGGGGAGGTTCAGGATTTGCCTAAAGGAATAGAAAGGGAGAACAGAATCATTCAGACTGTGATGAGACAGCTCTTATTTGCCTTAGATGGCCTTCACTCCACAGGGATTGTGCACAGGGACATAAAGCCACAGAATATAATCTTCTCTGAAGGTGATGATTTCTTTGGACTTCCCATAGATGATTGTGGTTATTTTTACCTGCCTTTTCTGGATGGCATAATTTACACTTTTGTATATGGAAAACTTGCAGGGTCGAAGACATTCAAGATCATTGATCTTGGGGCTGCTGCAGATTTGAGAGTCGGGATTAATTATATTCCAAATGAGTTTCTTTTGGATCCTAGGTACTTTTCAGTATTGTTTTCTTTCATTAGAGATTTAGTTTCTACAGTATTATTCATGGCTTTTATGGTCGACTGCTGCCTCTCAGGTATGCTGCTCCAGAGCAATACATCATGAGCACACAAACTCCTTCTGCCCCATCTGCTCCTGTAGCTACTGCACTGTCCCCAGTCCTAAGGCAGGTCTAGCACAAAGAATCCACCCCTCGTCATAGAGGGGAAAATTCAAGAAATGGTTCAGCTTCATTGTTATAAACCGAGATAACTAATCAGCTCTTGGCTTTGGTTTCTTTGTGGCTATGCAGCTAAATTTGCCTGATAGATTCGACATCTACAGTACTGGTTTGATGTTCCTACAAATGGTACGTAAGACAGAGACCCGTTTTATTTAACAAAAAAGGCTAAACCAAACACATCATCTAGTGTTGTTGCTGGGACAATTTTAATTGGCAAAGTATTTTGTATGCTGCTGTTCTTGAATATGACTTAATACATCTTTATGAGCATGCTCCAATCCATTTTAAACCTTCTTTTGTTACAGGCGTTTCCAGGCCTAAGAACTGACAGCAACCTCATACAATTCAACCGTCAACTAAAGAGATGTGACTATGACTTGGTTGCATGGAGGAAAAGTGCAGAACCCCGTGCAAGCCCAGAACTCAGGAAAGGGTTTGAGTTGCTCGATTTAGATGGCGGGATAGGATGGGAACTTCTAACCTCGATGGTGAGATACAAAGCACGACAGAGAATAAGCGCCAAAGGGGCTTTAGCCCATCCTTACTTTGACAAAGAAGGGCTATTAGCTTTGTCAGTAATGCAGAACCTGAGGTTGCAGCTCATACGAGCCACACAGCAGGATTATGGTGAAGCTGCCAACTGGATCATTCAGCTCATGGCAAAATCTGGGACAGAGAAAGACGGCGGCTTCACTGAAGCCCAGCTTCTGGAACTGAGAGTCAGTATGCCTGTGAATGAACAAACCCTTTTTCACGTACCTGTTGTGTGTTTCAAGCATTGAAATGATTTTGTGTGGTTTGGTCGCTTGCAGGAAAGGCAAGAGCCTAGGAAGAAGGCAAATGGACAAAGGAACGCGCTTGCATCAGCTCTTAGGCTGCAGAGAAAGGTACTCAAGACGTTGAACGAGAGCATGGATGAACTGAACCAACGCAGGAAGAGCATATGGTGGAGCAGGTGGATCCCAAAAGAGGAATGATCATACTAGCCAAATCCCTTCTTCTTTTTCTTCCTTGTGAAGTTTTATCCTTAGTTTGTTTATATGTGTGGGTTCAGAGACTGATGGTATACAGTAGAATTGAATATGAAAGAAATTAGCTGGAATCTTGTGAGATGAAAGTTGGCAATAACATACCTGGAATCTTTTGACCGCACGTGTAACCCTTGGCTTCATCAGTTTCAATGACAGTCATCGGAAGTGAAGTTGATGGAAGTGAAACAGCTACAAACGCAAATCTTAAATAATCTCTTTCACAGTTCTCAACAATCATGTTGCTTCAGTGCTGTTTAACACGATTGTCAGGAAATTTCCTGGTTATGTTCCTCAGGGTAGCTACCAAGACTGGCACGGGCTGCTTCTTTATTTCTTTGGGCAATGTCTCAAAACTCATTTGGGTTGTGCACGGCTAGAATTACTCAATGAAAGCACGTTTGTGTTGTGTAGAATTTGATGATGCGGAAGAACGAAAGAACACAGAACACAAGATTTTACGTGGTATCCTCGCTCAATTGATTGATCGAGACTAATTCACGATGAGCTCATAAGAGCTCACGGCTAATCTCATATTAGGATTACATCTTGACGGCTTACTTACGACAATCTCGTAGCTAAACTTATATAGAGATAGACTAGGGTTAAACCCCTAATGAGAAGAGTCGAGTACGGCCACATATCTGTACGTACTACAACTCGGACAAGGCCCAACAAGGCCCAATACTAACACGGTTTAAGTAATCGCAACACTCCCCCTCAAGCGAAGACAAGAATGTCGAGTTTAAAGCAGTAAAATGTGAAGAACAAGCATGATGGCTTGAACCACAAAACTCGAGACGAATAACATCTCGGACAAGGTTGATTGGAGACGACTGACTCTCTCTGAACAACCTGACGATGAAGACTATTGATTGCGTCTCTTGAACATGAACACACTTGGTACATCATGATCGACCTGATGACCGAGTTAGTCGACCGACGTAGGTTGACCTCCTATTTGTTGTGTATACTATGAATTTGGCTAAGGGGAAAGCCGTAATTAAGCGCATCGCCTTAGGCCGCTCCACTACCTTTCTGATGTGCCTTGGCGAGCGACAACAGCCGTTTGATACATGGCTAAGAAGTGCACTAACGGTAGAGATGGATCGAACGTATGCTGACAGAGGGACTCCCTGGTTGTGCAACTTAAGTCTCCCGTATACCCACGCAGTTAAGTTAGTATCGCGCAGTACTTATGATATGATATTGTTGGTTAAAGGCCGACGGGATTAATTGCTGTTTAATTTGTCTGCGTTTGAATACAAAGCCCTGAAAGGAGGGAGCCAAACAAGGAAATTAAGCTGATGCGAAGAAACGGGACTGACTGTGTCCTGCATCTGCATGCAAAACGGCAAACGAGGATCTAGCTACAAGCAAGAATGAGAGATCGATGAGAATATATATATATATATAGAACAGTAGAAGAGAAATAAGTTAGTCCTCCTGTACGTATTCGAGGGTTACAGCATTCCATGTTTCCTGCATGCAGATATGCTTCATTGCATCTCGACCATCGATACATATACAAAACTCCGTGCATTCCCATTCCTCAAATTTATCGCCGTTGCCTTAATTTTGTGCTGATCCGTGCGCACACCAGAATTCATGGTAGCTAGCTGCCACCAAATCCTTCCTCGATCGTCCTCTTGACAGTTCCTCACAATTCCCGGATATCGCACGGATGCTGTATCGTAATTAACGTAACTATGCTAGTAGCTAGCTAGCTACATGGTTCAGATGAGACAAAAAAAGAGTTTGTTATTCTGTACTCATACCGACGAATTCACTAAGACTTGTGGTCAACGAAGCCATCAGCCTTATTGGGTTTAAACATCGAGATTTATATGGTTTGATATAAGTTTAGATTGAATACCATCCATGAACATAATGTTGAATCTGAATGAATATGAAAGGATATAAATTTTATTTAAATTGAAACAGAGTTACAATTGATCTAATCAAACCCTAGCCAAGCCAAGAGACTTGGCACTTTTGAATACAGAAGAAAAACACTCAATCCCAACTTCCCAAGACAAGATCACCCAGTTCTCAACTCCTGTGACCTATCTACTGAAGATGGTACCCAAAACAGCCCATGATAGACAAGACAGAATCCCAATCTCTCTTACTACCAACCGCACCATTCAAATGGAGAACTCACTCGATATATATAGGAAGAAAGGAAAGAGCCGTTTCCTACAAGACGCTACAGGTAGCGATTATAATTGCTTGCTAAGTAGAGGCGGTGGAGCTCTGGAAGAGTGGTTCTTCGATCTATTGAGAGAAGAACAGAAAGCTGCAGATTGACAGACTCGAGATGAAGACGACAACTGCGACGGACGAAACACTATCCGAAACCAAAACGCCACCGTTCCTTTGGCATGGAAGCGACACCGTTTTAAGTGGCTGAAGAGATTTCGTTTTATCCAACACATACCTATTAAGCTGCATTTCTTAACGACTATCATCAGGTATGATAGAGCCGACAAATATTCATAACACCAATATGGGTACCCTAACTTTGACTCGCGCGTACGTAGTAACAGATGGGTCGGTATGAGTACAGAAATACCCGCCCCACCTCATATAACCGCACAAGTAATAAGCGACCTGACTCACGTTTAATAAAATAACGAGTATGAGTATTAAGGTACCCGCCATCCGCTCCGTCACCAAGAGAATGATCGATCACCTTAAGATTGCTATGTCTCGGACAGGTGGCTGCGAACAGACTACTACAGCCTTCTTAGAAACTAATCATCATATCATAAGCTAGCCGACCGGCCAACTTGAATCATCACATGCACCTTATTAACGTGCCCAAAAATAAATCTGCTGCCCTATAAACAAATGTTTTTATGACAGCACTAGTCTTAATTAGTATGTTATAGTGATCAGCTAGCTTGCTGTCACGTGTTTATACTTCATACCACTGCTCATCTCGTACGAACATTATTTGAGCAATCAGTTCTATTAAATATGGGTGTCAAAATGTATGATGAGTTAATATCGTTACCGTTAATCAACTACTTCACCTTTGCGCCGACCAAATTATTGTGTCAATAAGATACTACGTACGAAACTCACCTTACCTATAAATATATGGCTCCAATTCGAATGATAATTGCATCAAGTTGGCAAGTGATTAATTGAGGAAAGGAAGCTACTTAATTGTAGTACCTATGGATTTAAAAGCGCACCAAAAAAGTAAACAAATAATTTGGTTGCTATATGGAGGATCTAATGTACTTTCTATTGTTTACCAAAAAAGAAGTATTACTCAACATAGTTACTAAATACACCGTTTAACACACATCTACATTGAAGTGGGTATTTTATGTGTTTACAACATTTGTTTCCCAAGAAGCATCCATTTGTTGAATCTCGTACATATAACATGTATAATATTTATATTTAATGAATGCAAAATACAATGTAAACATATATATTTTTAAAGTAATTAATTTTATATATTTATAACTGCGAACGTACTACTAAACATACCAGTAATTTAAATACAAAATAAAATATCATACGCGTTTTATAAATGAAATGGGTTGAGTCTTTGATAGGCAATGACATTGCAAAGCGCGAGAACTTCACGTGCAATTCTGACCTTCATGTTCTTCACTTAGTTTGAATGAGTTCATCTTCAAAAAATAAAACAGATCATAATATAAGTTTAAGTTCCCTAAGCAGGACTGGAGATGCTTCAAACAACAACTTCGATATTTAGGTTACGGTGCAGTACTATAATTAAAACCCATTACATTATATATTAAGTAGACAGGGCAAAAACTTATCAAACGGCAAGATTTATGTGTTGGAATAAGGTGAAACGACAGACAGCAACCTCATATTCCTGTCTCCAACACTAGTACTCTTCTTTAATTATTTGTATTTGCATGAATAGTTGTCTCCATGACTACTTAATTAGTTCAATGGAATATATAGATATGATCATCTCCAGCTCCTAAATCGATATGTATATATGTATGTATGGCTATAGTATAAGCTAATAAGATAATTAACATAAAAGGTTACTTAAAGTTGGTGTCATCAGTGGTGAAATCCAAGACCAAGCAAGTGGGTTGTTTATCGTTAAGCAGGAATTAGATTACTTAACTAATTACTTGCTGAGTTGGGTTTTGAGCTCCAAGTTTCTGCCCACCACTAACTATGTTATAAGTCGCATTTTCCCTGCATAGAAAGTCGTTATTTCTATAAAATATCTCAAACCATTCTGACTGACAACTGAAGTATAATTTCACTTCTGTTTAGAAAAATGAGTGATGGCAATGGGTCGGGTACCTCAGTACTAATGCTCCATTCCACGCTGTTGTGTGTCGGGATGGGCGATTGACCCACTCTTAAATGTTATTTGAATTAAATATGTACATACAAATTTTACCTTTTACGATAAAACGAATGAGCAAACACTTTATGAATGAAAAATAGTGATAATAAAATGGGTAAATGAGTCTAACAAGTTGAAAGATCGACTCTAACTAGTTGAATAAAAATCAAAAGATGATAAATATGTATAGATACTGTAAGAAATTGAGATAGAATGGGCTAAGAATAGGGCGGAGCGGGACAAAGCCGACCGGAAATAGATACCCATGCCCTGCCCCACGCTATTGCGAGTCGAGTAATGCCCACCCATTGTTGATCAGGTCTGGTAATATCCATAGGGCGGGTTCAGATTGTCATCACTAAGAAAAATGTACAATAAAACCTTAGAGGTGACATTCTTAAACAATGTATATAAAATTCAATATTTAACATTTTTGAACAACTGAACTTATTGTCACCCGTTAATTTTTTTACATAATATCGAAGTCGATCTTTCATCGATATATTTCAAAATTTGAAAATCCCAACCAGTTAGTAACATATCGCTCGAGTAAGTTATTTTATTGATAAGCATGATATTTTATTCATTATTTTGAGCAAACAATACGTCAAAATTTCTCTTAATTTATAATATAATATAATATAAATATTAGTATTTAAATTATTAATAATTTTCTGAAAATATATGAATTGTACGTGCTTAAAATATGAACTATATAAAAAATAAGGAAAATAATACGTATTGAGATACTAGCGGGCAATACAAAAATTTAAATTGATTTTTTACTATCAAGTGTAGAAATAAAACGAGTGACAGATAGAACTCATACAAATACAATCCTTTCCTATAACTCGAGTTATTGACAATAACGGATTTGTTCGGTAATATCAAGACTCCTAATATATAATACTTATTGCTGCAAGCATATATAATCGATGCACAAAGTAAGATGGTTATATCTTATATGCCATTGTATATCAAGCTAGCCAGGTGGAGATTTCAGCTTGTTTGGAGATCTATATTAACTTGTTTTGCTGGAGAGCTAGAGATTCTAGAGCACAAGTGAATTTGTTTATAGTTTAGCTGAATCGATCGGAATATACTGATATTCATGACTTGCGATCAAATCCATATCCTCCGTTGATCCAGAAGATGCTCATATATATATTCTTGCAAACAGAATACCTGTAATGTGCTTCCATAATCATTATTAAAAAAAAAATGTTCCCCTTTGATATTCATCGATCGGATGCGTTAGTTTAACTTTTTAAACGAGATTGAAATTCCTAGCAAATCCCTTGGGGTTATAAAGGTCGGTCGGTGGGATTTTATTCTTATACGGTCTTGCTTGTCAGCTGTAATTAAATCAAATTCGAAAGTGTTTTTGACTGAGCAATACGATTGTAGGCTATAGTAGAGATGATGGAAGGCCAAATATAGATCTAGGGTGAGAAAGAAAGGGTTTTGGTTGCAGAGCTCTATAATTATATATGTGATTTGTTTGTTATTAATAAATATATGAGAAAGATTGCAACCCAAATCACATTTCATTTTGCTTTTGTTAACTACTTGTTCAATTTAGTAATTTTTCATAACTAATTAGGTTTATTTTCCCCATTAAAAAGAGTAAACTGATCGTGAGTTTTGAGAAAGTTACCCAAAAGTGGAGAAGAAGAAAAAAAAATCCACAATTCAAATAATTGCTAGTTCCTTTCTAATTTGCGAGAAATTTATTATAAATATTAGTAAAATTGTCTAATGGATAGTCGGAGAAACCACATCCACCCACCACCCAACCTAGCATGAAGAAGAATGTGGGTAGATAGTGGGTCACAATTATATCAATTTATTAATAAGCTAGTGAATTAATTTAAAACTGAAATCGACCTAACTCACTCATTCTCGTACACAGTACTTAACTCTAACTCCAACGAACAAAGGCTTCGTCTAGTTGTAATTAATATTACTATTC